CGCGGGGGAAGCCGCCTGCTCCTCCTCCCCCTGGCTCAGCCGCTGCGGGGCAGCCGGGCGCCTCCCTGGCCCGCGGGCAGCACCATCGCCAGTGAAGCCGGAGCAGCACTGAGGAGCTGGCCTGGCCCGTGCCCAAAGCTCCATAAACAAATCCGCTGGGGAGGAAAGAGAGAGAGAGCAATGAGCCTAGAGCCCTGGGCATTAGCTGGGCATGGGGCAGCATTGTAGGCTGGACTCCTGGGCAAAGGATGCGGGGGAGTGACGATGTTCTGCTTGGCTGTGGCTGGCTGTGTGCTAGGGGTACATGTACATCTCCAGAGGCGTGTGCAGCGGGGAGCCTGAGCCACTTACTGTGCGCCCGTAAGTGTCTGAGTGGATTTATTGTGTCCGTGCATTTCAGCCTGCATCACCACGTGCGTACCTAGGTCTGCGCATTGTGACTGGCACCTATCTATGGAGTCTGCCAAATAGATGTTATGTCTACCACTTCATGCGTGTGTGACCATTTCTCTGGGTTCAGTTACAGCTGCATGTGCCCTCTTCCTTGTTTGGAGAGGTGTCTGGCTATGTATAACTTCTGCCTATGTATTCCTACCGCAGGTGTGTGTTTCTGCATCTGTGCGTGTGCCGGGGCTACCTCTATTAGCATCTGCTGATCAAAATTCTCCTGTCAACACCATTTTTCAATGAAAAAATGGGGCTTCAACTCAACATCTTTCTCCACAGTGTCTGCTTTCTGCTCTCTCCTCTACAGGCCCGTCTTCCAGCCACACTGCATCTCGCAGCCTGGCCAAAGAGCCTAGCCTATTGAAGATCATGGGGGCTTGCAGCACTTACACTACAACTCCCATAAAGCACCACAACAGAATTTCTAAATGACACGTTTATGGCAGAATTGCTAAATGACCAGTTTGGACTAAAAGACTGTGGCTGAAATATTGAGTAAGTACCGGTATGGCTTTATCGATGCTGGGCTATGGGGGTGCGGGTGTATGTCTGGCCTCCTGCTAGGATATCAAGATCAAATGAGGGTCTGCTTCAAGTACGTGTTTCTTTTGTGCGGTTTGGTGCATTATGTGTGTGCGCGTGCGTGTGCACGCATATTCGTGTCTGTTAGATCTAGATGTGCTTACTCTGTATAGTCAGGCGCGCATGTGTGTGTGTGTGTGTGTGCGCGCGCGTGTGTGTGCGGATGTGCTCATCTGTATGGCCTTGTGCAGATTCATGTCTATTAGATCTAGATGTGTTTACCCTATGTAGTTAGACCTCTGTGATGTAAGTTTGTTGTAAGTACCTCTTGAATTAGTCTTCTGTATATTCTTAGTCATGTCTAATGTGTGTCTTATATGGACATGTGAATGGGTGTATGCTGCTTCTCCATGTGCTTTTGTGTGCATATGATTCTCCCTCCGTGGGTGACCCCCTGGCCATGTGTGCTTCTATGTGTCTCTGTGCATGCGTGTATGTCTGTGTAGCTAGAACTGCAGCCTTCTTTTCTACTTGGAGCATCTGAATTCCACCTATGAGAATTATGCCTGAGGGCGTTTTATGCATGTGTAATTATTTATTTATAGGCATGTGCCCCGCGCATAAGCTGTATATGTAGCTTTGAATGGACCTGTGTGCAGCTGTGTGCCCTATGTGCCCATGTGAGTCTATATGCTAAATGCCTTGGTACTGTGCATTAATATCAATTACTATTAATTAGCTTCGGGACATAATTTGCAGCAGTATACATGTATAACGGGATGGACTGGATACTAGCTCGGTACATATGCAACTCTAGAGTTACAGCCTGGCTCATGGTGGTGACGGTGGGCAAACGGGCGAGTGTCTGAGTGAGTGTGTGTGTGTCCATGCCCATCTCCATAGCAGAGCGTTCAGGGGAAGTGCAGCAGGATGTGCCCATCCTATTATAGAGTGGGAGAGCAAACTGGGCGCCCTTCACACTCCACTCCTGTCTGCCAGTGCCCTGCGCAGCGCACGGCGGAGCGCTTTTGCTGACAGCTTGGTTTGCCGTCGCTGCAAAGCGCTCGAGCCCTGTTTTTCTTACTAGCTGTCTTTAGAACGGCCACTTAGCACGCTTCACAGAAAACAGTCTCGCTGCATTTTGCCGCCACTCGAATCTTTTCAACCGTGCATTTGCTGCCCCCGCTCTCCTGGCCTGAAAAGGCAGTGAGTTTGCTCCTGCCTGCAGCACAATGCACCAGCTAAGCTAAGGCAAACGGGGTGACCATACGACAGTTACTCATTAAAGAGCGGGGAAGGCGGCTCGACACGGCATTTGCAGGGAAGCACGTTTCAGAGCCATTGTGAGACTTGTGCCTCTTATTTATTTCCATGATCCAATCCTCTTGCCCTGCGGTCCTGCCCAGCTAAAGAGAGATCCGCTTAAACGAAAGCCAAGGGTTAAAAATGGAATTTAAAAGTCTCCCCTTACCTGGTATGTCAGGGACTCATGCAGATTTCACGGTGGTGGTAGTTCACATCCTCTTGAAACCCCCGCAGGAACTGAGACCCACACAAAATGCTCCAGAAATTATTTCCTCATCCAGAGCAAGACTGAAGAACACAGCCGTCTATATTGTCTGTAACAGAGGTTTTAAAAAGTGGGCTGCTTTCTTTCTGGTTGAATCGGGGACTTGCCTTTCACTGCCTTGTTGTTTGGCTAATTGATTATCCTTTCCCTGCCGAGAGCGCGTTCAGCTTTGTCACTTTCAGCTTTGCAGCTTCTTGAATGTTTGTGGAATGTGCGATTAAAGAGAAAGAGGGAGGGAGGAAAGCGGGGCGGGGCAGGGGGTAGGAAGGCAGGCAGGAAGGAAGTCGTGAGTGAGCCTGTCTGGTGTTGAACTCAGCGGAACAAGTTTCATTTTTTTTATTCTTTTTTTTTCTTTCTTTTCTATTGCTTGGCAAGGACCACTGGAGGGAAACACTAAAAAAAAAAGTTTCCATTGTTAAGTAGCAAAAAAAAAAAGTTTCTTCTTCTGTGGGTTAAAGATACACGATCCATTTTTCCACTCCTCAGCTTAATCTTACTATGTGTAACTTTCTGTACTATTTTAAAACCTCAACTTCAGTTCCTTTTTCACAAAGACGATCCCGGGGTCATTGCCTGACCCTTACATAGGCTGCTGCTTGCATCTAATACACACGCTGCTGTGTTTCCAAGGCTCATAGTTCTAGATACCAGAAAATTAATATTGCTTGAAGCTTCCAAACAAAGTAGGTTCAAAATAATTCTCTAACCTAAGTAGCATGTTTTATGACCTTAGTTTCAGGATTCTAATTCCAGTACTCAGAGGTTTAAATGCACCTCTCCTCAGAGGGCCCTGCTCCTGGAGAGTGTGTTTTTCAGTCCCACTTACATCTTGTTTTGAAGCTTTAGGTGGTGCTTAGGCTTGTGTTGTACTGTCCTTTTGCACAGGGGTGCATTTCTCCCCAAGTGAGGATACGACTTAGGCAGGAGTCTCCCTTGCCCTGTCCCTTGTGGTGATTTGCCTGCATACAAAGAAGGTGCAAATTGCCACCTTTCCAGTAGAGTAATGTTTTACCCACTTTGCACTAGTGGGAGAGACTGAAGATGCAGGGCAATGGAGAATCAGGATCCTGAGAGTAGATTCTCAGCTGATGTAAACTGTCTTAGCTCTGTGGTAACTTCACTTAGCGTAGGATCACCCCCTCCACCCCCCCTCCGCATTTCTGTAGGATAGCATCCTAAATGTCCGTCTAGAAAGAAAGCTGTCCTTCCTGATGGGGGATATGCGATACAGCTATCCCATATTCAACTCCCGCAGGCCTTAGGCACTGCTCTCATTTGGCAGCAAGAACAGATTCTTGGACGTGAAAAGGGGTGATATTTAAGATCAAGATAACCAATCTGAGGTGGCTATCACAATGTAAAATTCCTAGCAGATGCGAGGCACTGCAGTTTTTACCTTTGTGCAGCTAGTTCAAGATAACACCAACTGCTGGTTATAGGGTTGACCTCAACTCGCATACTGAGGTAAAACCACCCATGACTTGTCTCTGCTAGGATTTTATACTGAGATAGCTATCTTGGTGTAAAACCATGCCTCTTTTTTGCTGTAAAGATATAGCCTTTGGCGTGAACAGGGGCAGAAAGTTCTCTCAATCTGTAGAAGAATGGGTGGATTGCCAACCTCACAGACACACAGTAAGACAGGGTGAGCCACTACAAATAAGTACATTTTGTTTTTCTATTCAGAGTAATCTTAATTACATCTCTGTGCAGGAAAAGAGAGGCTTAGACTCTTTACACAAAAGAGCAACATTTTCTGCAATGTCTGAGCTCAGAAGGGACTTAAACCAGAGGGTAACTTTACTCACATAAGTAGATACACTGAAGTCAATGTGAATAAAGTTATCCCTGTGTAAGAGTTTCAAGGATTTGGACCATTTATGGCTCCCACTCTATGCAATGTGTGTGCAAAATGAATTTTCACTATGTGTTAAAAATGAATTTTCAAAACAGCTGTGCCTGTCCCTGTCCCTGTTTGTCTACCTATGTGACTGTGAATGGTGTTTACAGCCTCCCAGTGGAAGAAAACATGTATAACTAAATGTGGAGTAATCCCACATAAATCATCTGATGTAGTCCACGTTTATCTGGCTGTAACTGAGAGTGAATTTGGTTATATTTTATAAGAAAAAGAACCATACATCACCTAACAGGAAATATGAGCCTTACCTAACGTTGAAGGTTGGCAATTCTACATGAAGCATTAGGGTTCCTGACAGAAGGAAGTTACACTTCTGATCATTCCAGGGAGGTAGAGTGGGCAGGTGGTTAACAAAGGAACGGGAATAAGAGTCTTGAGTGATGCTCAGTTGTACTCCAGTCCTTTTTGCTTTGCTTCAGTGCCACAAAGAGCAAGTGAGAATTCTTCTGGCATGGGGGAGCTCTCAGCTGGTTTACCAGTCTTCTGCACCAACATCTCCCCCCTCACATACATTATTGGCTCTCAGCATGAGGGAAAATAGTGATGTGGGAGGAGGGAATGGCTGGAACATTGGGCTCCAGCTCTTGCTCAGCAGACCTATGGGCCCAAATTGTCAAAACTATTTAGGTGCCTAACTCTCATTGGTTTTGGCAGGAGTTAGGTACCTAAAGAGGTCCTAGAATTTAGAGTTATAGTTAGGCTTCACTAATCTACACTAAAGGCTTTTCTTCACTTACCCCGAAATCAATGTTGCAGAGATTTATCTTCCGTGGTTAGATTTAGCAGATCTAATAAGTCTAATAGTCTTCACTTACCCCCATCAACCCTGGTACTCCACCAGGTCATGAGGATTGAGGGAAGTCAGTGGGAGAGTTTCTCCTGTCGACCTCTCACAGTGGGGATGTCACAGAAATTTGACCTAAAATACGTCAACATCAGCTACCCTGTTCTCAGAGCTAGAGTTGTGGATCTCAGGTCAACATTCTCCCATAGTGTAGTCCTGATCTAAGACTCAGCTCAATGAAGTATCAGCGTGTGACTCTAAGAGTCAGTTGTGGCTGAGAGCCACCCAGTCTCTGCTGTGCCAAGTAGAAGCTCAGTGAAGCAGAGGATCTGATGCAAGGATTGCTGCGTTCTATTGACCCCACTACTGTCTTGCCGCATGAGCTGGGGGATTTTTTAAAATATCTTTTTACCTTAATTTACCTGTCTGTGAAACAAGTATAATAATATGTGCAGTGCATTGCAGGGTGGTTTATGGCTCTGTCACGCTTGATGTTTGTCAAATCCTGTGAAAGCTACGTGCGAAGTACTCGTTCGTAGGAGTGTAGTAAAGTAGGGCTGGATGATGTGCTTTAGCTGTTGCAACGGGGTTGGAGGACACTCAGAGACCTCAAGTGTTTTGATATCTGTGGATGAAAGGTATTATGCTAAGTAATAGAATGTAAGTATAGACACAAATGTGGAGGGGGGGGATGAGGGAAGACATTTTGTGCTACGCTTAAGCATCCATCATAGATCTGAGACATTATATTCTGTTTGATGCAACACATTCATGCACAGGGTGATTTTGTTGTTCCATTAGGTAACTTAGTAAAACATGTGCAATTGATTGCGAAGACACACTAGCATTATGCTTGTGTAATTCCATTGAGTTCTGTAGAGTTGTTCCTTATTTAGCCCAGTGTGAGAAGAATCAGGCCCTCAATCTGTAGTGTGTGCGTCACAAACACATTTTGCTGTTCTGCAGTAGATTAGCAAGTTGACCCATAGTTCCTACTTACTATTAATAATTATATGTGTACAAGCTGTATATCTGTGGTGTATTCTATGAGTCAGCATTAAGGTTTCCTTTGTGCAGAGCCCTTACAAAAACATTAGGGAATTACAAAAACACAATATACCATGCATATTTTTCTTTTATTAATAAAAGGATGTAAATGGAATATCTCTCACTCCTCATTTCTCAAACTACTAAATGTTGTACATAAATGCTGGAAGATGGTTTAAAATATCAACCGTTCAAATACTAGTTCTGTGTCTGGACAGGTTTTTCCTATTCATCGGTCACAATTATTCCATTGGACTGAGACCAAGTAACCATAATTGGACAGCTTTGCATTTATTTCAGACAATTTTTATTATGGCAGGAAAAGGGGAAGCTGTTTTTTTTTTAAGTCTGCAGCATGTCATCTAACTTTTTTTCCCACCAGCGCTGGCATGCTTGCTCTCTCTGCTTTTGTGAAATACAATGAATGTATATTACATGACATGGCTGAGATAATCCACAGTACCTTTTTAGGGATGAACTAGACAAGAAATCACAGGAAATGTTGTCAAAGTTTCCATTCTCTGTAATGAATGGCCTCTGCTTTTGGAGGGGAAGAAAAAGGAGGAAAGAAAGGAATTTAGGAAGATCTGGTTTATAATTTTAGATCCTACAGTGGGAGGTGGACATTTAACACATATAATTATAAATAAAGTACCAAGAATCCATGTGGGAATCTATTGCTATATACATCTTAGGGCCCATTGCATAATAATAATACATTTTAAGAATTTACCAAACTATTTTTAATAAAGCAAACACACACACACACACACACACACACACACACACACACACACACACAAAGCCAGATATTCCTCAAACTCTCATATCTGTCCAGATTTGAGTTAAGGCTGTTAAGTAACTTGTATTTCACTAATTAAATAGTTGATGCATTTTTGCATCGACTATTCGATTAGTCGATAGGGTGGTTATTCCACTTTGAAATGCCAGGATGGCATTTCAAAGGGACAGCGCCACACAGCTGATCTCGGGCTCTGTGGGCACTGCCCCTTTGAAACACTGCCATGGCGTTACAAAACAGAAGCACTGCACAGAGCCCGGGGTCAGCTGGGGACTCCAGCTGACCCTGGGCTCCCTGCTGTGCTGCCCCTTTGAAATGCTCTGGCGGCATTTCAAAGGGGCAGCGCTGCACAGCTGGTCCCAGGCTTAGCGCTGCGGAGCCTAGGGCTAACTGGGGACTCCAGCTGACCTCGGGCTCCCCTTGTGGGGCTGCCACTTTGAAGTACCCCTCTCTTCCACTCCTTGCTCAGCTACCGGAGGCATGTTGGAGATGGAACTTGTGCTTGTGTGCACACATACACACTTGGGTGCACATGCATGAATGTGTCCTTTAGTGGCAATCTCAAGACGAAGCCTCATCTCACAAGATTTCCATCCCAATACTTCAGATTCACAAGGTTTGGCTCATTCTGAGAAGGTAGGGCATTTGGTCTAGTATTCAGCAGGGACAGGGAGTTAGAGGATCTATTCCCAGCTCTTTCACTGTACCTTGA